CTTAGTTGGCTTGCTGTTACTGAGAAGATAAATAGTACATATTATTTCTAAGTTACCACACTAGTTTAATTATAATGCATAAAGTAAAACTGAATCGTTAAACATAAATCAACATTCATAGTAATATCTATACAATAAAATTTAGTAGAATGCAATAATCAATAGTATATTTTAAGATTATTTCACAATTCTGGATCATAACCAGCTTAATAACACTGTACAGTACTAACAGATTATCATTTAATCACTCTACTTCTTAGCTCGTTTACTATCACTTGCTATCACCATATCTTAGAGACGTTGCAAAGGCAATCATAAATTCATTAGTTAGGGAAACCACACTTCTGGATAACTGACCTAAAAAGACCTTGTCTGTAATTCCTTGTAATTAAAATTAAGATTTATTACATTTTAATCATAATTTTAACAAGTTTCAATAAGTTAGTAAATTAGCTGGGCAATTGGACTTTCAATGCTAGTGACTCATGGAATACAGATACTTGTAGTTAGCTTAACATTAGGTTACATGTTACAAAGAACTGCAATACACTATGTTGTACTGACTCACCCATAAAAACAATATCATAATTGTTGATTGAGAGCTACTTACAAATTTTAAATACAAATCTTTATACGTAGAGTCATCAACAATATCGTACCAGCTAATTCTTTCTGACGAAGGTAGTTGTCATTCCCCTTTCTGAAAATACTTTTTAACTTGATTAGCTACCTTGTTCTAGTAGACATCACCAGGATTGTTTCCACTGTCATAGACTGAAATCCTGTGTCCAAGTGACTCCTTTGCTCTATAGAAATCAATATTTAAAATATTTTAAATCCACAGCACAGTAACTACTGTACAAATAATAATTATAGAATTGCATTGCTTTAACCCCAATGCTACTACACCACATAACATCCCTAACACCATGCTAGTGGACTCTTATCCTATAGTTTTGATCACGCAAAGATATAATGGCCACTCAATATTACATTTTTGAAAGGCGACTAGGCGCATGGTAACAACCAACTGATGCAGACCACCGGTCACACATCACTCTCCATAACACAGCATCCCATAGTTCCGTCACCTCTGGATGCACAATCAACTTATTGTATTATCAAATGTTTTCCCAAGGCAATAAATACATAAGACAATCGTAGTCATACCCTATTAAGGGCCATGTTATTTTAGCAAGCAACAAAAGTCAGGTATGGCATGTTGAGCTCAAAAAGTGGCTTTTGATTTTTGGACACTATGTTAAGAGAGTGATAGACA